GGGCGGAGCTCCGTTTCGCTGCACTTCGACTGTTACCTTCATATCCTCCGGAACGGATTTTCGTTTCGCGTATTTTTCGACTTTCTTGTTAGCCCAATTTGTTAACAACGATTGTTTTCTTATTTTTTGTGGCATGGAGCTGTGTAACATTGACTCGGTATTTGGGATATACCGTCTGACGGAGTCCTACGGCTTGAATTTCGCCTTCGCTTTACATCTGTAGATAGTTGTCGCATTTTGTATTTGTGTGCTTTGAAAAGCTACATGGTTTCCATATTATTCATTTACTCAAGTCTCTGCGTTAAGATGAAGCTCTTCTTTTCCAAGATATTGCTTTCAGGTAGTTAATATAAGATGGGCAAGCGAAAGTCGAAGAGAAAGCCGCCTCCAAAGGCTAAGGCAGTAGAACCACTACAGACGCAGTTTAATTGCCCGTTCTGTAATCACGAAAGAGTATGCGAAGTTAAAATGTTGGTGCTGCTATGATATCTGTCTCTCCATTGACTTATTCAAATAACTTTGGCTGTTCAGGGACCGAGAACGGAACGTGGGATTCATCTCCTGCCGTGTATGCTCGGAGGATTTTCAGACGCCGATCAACTACCTCTCAGAACCCATCGATGTTTACTCAGATTGGATTGACGCCTGTGAATCTGCAAATGCATGAAGGGAGTCGTTGGTCTATGTTTGATCTCGTGGTCCAGTTTTTGACAGTTTAATTTAATTTCCCAACTCATTGAATTTGACTTTTCAGTTAGTTACTCCGATGTTATTTGTTCTCTTGTTCTGCTCACATTGTATATAATATATGTGACATATGTAAAACATGCTACATGGTTGGATTGTAATTGCTAAATGCTAATGATCCTGTCATTAAAGGAAATATAAAAAAAAGTGGTGAAAACCTTATCTTGTGGGCTACAGTTGGTGGTTTTCCAACATTTGAGCAACGGGCACTGCCTTCATACGTGGTGAACAAGCTCCAGTAGGGCGTGTTTTTAATTGTCTCATCCTCTTGGTGTGCTGACCGTTCAAATAAGGTGCAAAATTCGAGAAGGGAGATTCCGAACCGAGGAAAGTCTGAAGTGTAATGGGTAAGAGAAGGATAG